CCTCTTCATCTCTCCTCCAGATTCTTCCACCAACTACATCAGGCAGCTGGAGACGAAAGTGCGGATACTGGAAGACGATAACAATAAGCTCCTCTCACAGGTGAGGCTTGCACAAGGACACACACACACAGGCACATGTGCCATGCCGCAATTAGCCCACTTGAGTTTCCGTCTAAACTTGTACCCTCGCTAAACTCCTCTTGTGCGACTTTTTAACTCATCCTCAACGCATGACAGGAAGCTGCGATGACATAAAATCGTTGCCTAATGCTTCTGTGAAGCTACCCCTTGCAACAGGCTCCCTGTTAGTTGGGGAATATGTTTATCCATGTTTAATTCATAGGGAGTCAGTAAGCTTCAGCAGCGTGCACTGATGTTAGCCCCCGAGGCGAACTGTGGGAGCAGAGATGAGAGGAGGAAAAAGAAGGGGAAAGAGGCATTAAGTGACAGTGACAGAGTAAAGGGTTTATCCCCAAAGCTGACCTTGCTCTGACTTCTCCCAAATTTGGAGGATGGGGGGCTCGGTGAGGGAGGGGTGTGTGTGCAAAAACGGGGTGGGGTATGTGTGTGGAATGCTGGTGTGGTTCACCAGAAGGTCACATGTCAGTCTGCGGAGGTGTGTTTACCCAGTCGAGCACAAGCAGCAGATGATGAAACCGAAGCACACTAATCTGGTCACGTGAGGGGAAATCTGATTCATGAAGTGTTCGACTAAATATTGGCAAAAAAAAAAACAGCTCAGGCTTTAAGTTTATAATTTGGCCTCTTTAATTTTATCGCATCATTTTATGATGCGAGTCGGTTCGTTTGAATGCAAATCAGGTTGCACAGAGACGAGGCTGAATTTCACACTGTAATTTGAAGTCTTTTTCCCACTTATATCCCAGCAGATTCATGTGTAGGCAGAGTGTAGGCTGTTATCACTGACATGAAACCTAAACGATCCTCATAATTATCTCTTACGCGCTACAGTTAAGTGTTACACATTGTCTCGCAGCAGTCCAAGCATAGAATATGAACTCCCGTCTTATAGTTTTTGTTCACGTTGTTTTCTGCAGACGTGAAGTTGGGATATGAATGTGTTCAAATGACTCATTTATTTTATTTTATTTAACAAATACATTAACTTAATTTTATGTGTTTAAATCCATCAGCAAAACAGTTGCTTCCATTGCTGTCATTCACGGCTCCTCACAGAGCGAAACAACATAATAAACCTTTCCACCATTATGTTTTTCTCTCCCTAGGCTTATAGCCGCTATAGCTTATCGCAAATACAGACGAGAAAGGTAATTTTCTGTGATGTCTGTGTTTGTTGGCTCTTCTGCTGGCCGGTTGGTTCAGTCTGTTTGGCCCTTTCACTCTTTTTACTCGTTTGGTGGTGGGACTTTTAACATCTTTGAGCTTCTTGCTTTCTCTTCTGTAGAGGGCTGACACTGTCAAAGCAGCAGCTGTACAAGGCAAGGCGACACTTTGCAGTAATGTTTTATGTTGTGCCTTTCAGACAAGGAATCACCTCTGTGGTAATGTTTAAAGGGTAGGAATATGATGATTTGTTCCCTTGATGGGATTAAGTTATTATGACGCAACGGCCTGTAGTGTTTTTTAGCTTAGCATAAATGCTAGACGCTAGCTAGAGTGCGGCAAAGATCGGGACTGTGACATCATCCACTGGCTTCTGAAGAAACTATTTCCACTTTGGTTAAACAAACAAATCTAATATGACGAGGAGGGGTGGGTCTGACCGTCAAACCACTTGCTCATCGGCTATGAATTTGTCAATATCAAATCGTTAGCTAATGAGCATACCGCCGATAATCCTCCAGGTTTGAAACCTATTAGGACCAGGATTTACGAAATACACTTAATTTTCATGACCCAAAATGAGCGACTGAGCCCATAAACGCAGCTGGAAAGTATTTACACAAGAAATCCATTTTCACATAAATTACAGGACCTGAAATCATTTTGTTTTTAAGCAAAAACTGCAGTGGAACTGAGAGGTCAAACGGACTGAAACCTAAGAAAACACCAGCAATAAGAAAAACGCTGCAAAAGCACACAAAATACAACGGAAATAGGAAAAAAATGATTTCCAAAAGCACAAGGGAAGTGTTTCTGGGGAGACAATAACCCGACGGACTATTTGCAGGAACCAAAATATGCCAAGAATTGCGCCAAGAGACACTTAAAAGAAGTGGAGGATCTATTAGTTTTGTGAGAAAAGAAAAGATGAGAGGTAAGTGTGTTAGCTTAACTATTAGCCTAAAAATCCATCATCAGTATTTTATGAATCATGAGATTAAAACACACTGACTTAGCATGTTTTGGTTCCTGTAACTGGTCCGTCAGGTTATTGTCTCCCCAGAAACACTTTGTGTGCTTTTGCAGCATTTTTCTTATTTCTTAAGTTGCAGTCCGTTTGGCCTCTCAGGGCCACCGTAAAAACACTTTGGATTTACTTTCCGGACCTGAAAGCTGTCAGCCACTGTCTGTGCTAACATAACAGTATTATTAACACTTAGAACTTCTAATTAACATAATATATCTCATGGTTTTATACCATTAAAAAAAAAGTTAAACAACACATAGCTTCTGTTGCTTGTCAGTGGTCAAATCATGAGAGAGCGTGTTATCAGACTCAAACGAGCTTTGTCCCCATCACTCCCTCTCGTCCTGTAGTGCTAAACTAACCGGTTTCTGGTTGTGACTTCATATCATCGATACACACCTAATATTGATATTGAACTCCAACTTTTCGTAATACAGTAAAGTGCATTGACAAACATCACCACAGAAATGATTCACCTTGTGATTGTGCCGGTTTCCCGAGAACACGGGAAGTTAAATGCACCGCCTTGCAGGGTTGTGGCTTCTGTGTCCAGGGGTTTCCTTTCTGTGCTGCTAGCATGCCGTGCTAATGAATGAACACAGGCGGCCCTTGCTTGTACGTGGCCTTTCTTGGCAAGAAAGCTTTTATCTGTCCTTGGAACTGCTCCGCACAGTGTTTGGTACAAGGTAACTTAAGTGAATGAATGCTACGTTGTGCTTTGGTGCATAAATGACACACGCATGTCCTAGCTTGTGTTGACGTCTGGAGGGCTGAATAATTAAAGATCTGGGGGGCAAGCCAGGTAGATTCAGGCATCTGTTATGCATGGCCGAAACTGTTGTTGGAGTGCAACTGAACAATGAAGGACTGTCAGTCTGAAGCTGAAAAATATGAATCTGTAATCTCTGGTTGTTGTTACTAAACATGACTTTCACACAGGGGTGATAACAGTAAAATATTGGGTGAAAATAAGAATTACTGAAGTTTACCATTCAGTTAGATTTCATAATATCCTACCTGATGACGTGTGTGCATATTAGCAGGTTCAATTGTTACAATGGATTAGCTGCCCCAGTGGATTGTATTGCCTAACTTCCTGTGTTATGAAACCGGCCCAGCGAAACTAGAGGAAACAATGGCCTCTTAGTGCAGGAATGCTGACCCTCCAGACCAGCTTGGCTGAGGTATTTTAACCATACTAAAGGGAGCGTGGAGGGAGTTAACAGCAGGATCCCACAGTGGATATTAACATTAACAAGGGCCTACGCAGCCCAGGTGTAAACACAATTAGAAAAACAGGTGTGTGCACTCAGATGCACACATTCAGACATGCTCAGACACGCGCATCCTCCTCAGGCTTTCTCCCACTCAGCTCTCCCATTTCTTCCAGCTGTTACTTGTCTATAGTCGAGCTCGCACACGAACTCCGGACGATGTTGAGATAATCTGGTACGGACGTTGTCGGAAGTTCACTCTTGGTAAATACAGTTTGGTTTAGGGCAGGGTGAGTCAGGCATCTTGTAAACTTTGCATTTGGGAGCTTGCAACCCAAAGCACTTTTATCACCCAATGTCAGAAATTTGCGCCGTCGTTGAGAGAGGCTCAGACCTGTGGAGAAAATATCTTTTGTCAACTCACTACAGTGTGTGAAGCACTCATGCACTCCTCCTCAATTCACACTGCACGTAA